ATATCCAATACACCTTCTTCCTCTTCCTATTTCCACCACAACCACCACCCTGTGAAACGAGTTGAGAGTGTGTGATTGGCCCAAGGACATCCAGCTAGCTTTCCTGATTAAGACAGGACTAGAACTCATGGTCCCCCAATTTCCAGCCTGGTGCCTTCATGATTAGGCCAAATGGGCTCTTTAGAGATGGCAATTAACCAGCACTTTGGATTGTACTCAGAAGCACATTGGGAGCCAATGCAGCTTGTAAAGCAGAAGTATATAACACTGATTTACGGAGGTGCATTCATAACTGCCTCTACCACTGCCTTCCACATTAGCTGCAGCTTTCAGCCTTCAATATTCCAAAGTGATGAGACCTAATATGATGTTCTCCTTTCTTCTAGCACAATCTGGATCAAAGGTATGATTCTGATGTTCTGGATTCCCATCACTGCCAGGCACCAGGTGCTCTCAGATATTGCTTATCATTTACTCCAGAGACAGGTGACCGTAACTGATTTGGACTGTTTCTGCCATGTTATTTTACAGCTATGGTCACCTGTCTCTGGAGTAAATGATAAGCAACATCTGAGAGATGGATATCTTCAACATTAGGAATGTGGAAAATCAGTCTGAACTTCTATCTGCCTCTCCTACATCTGCCTCTCCTACTATTCCTAGAAGCCAAGCTTAGAAGGACAGCAACATTATCTTCTCCAAAGCACAGGATTTCCTTTCGGCACTCAACATGACAAACAGTACAATCTCACCTGACCACGCTTTTAAATAAAGGTTGAGCATCACCAAGCTAAAAAATTGTTTAGCCATCATCTTTCCAGTATTGGAGAAGGGGACAGTTGTTGTGGACTTTCTATAAACCTCACCTATTTTAAATACAACCAAGTCTAAACACATGCAGGTAATCCTCGCCTTACAACAGTTTGTTTAGTATGTTTGAAGTTACTTATGACCATTTTCACTTAGGACTGTTGCAGCATCCCCATGGTCACATGATCAAATTTCAGACACTTGGCAGCTGAACTCATATTTATGACGATTGCAATGTCCCAGTTGCAGTGTTGATCATGTGATCAACTTTGGCAATCTTCTGCTAAGCTAAGTCAATGGGAAAGGCAGATTCACTTAAACAACTATGTTACTAACTTAAGAACTGCAGCAATTCACTTAACAAATATGGCAGGAAAGGCCATGAAATAGGGCAAAATTAACAATGGTCTCACTTTCCAACAGAAATTTTGGTTGTAAGTGGTTGTAAGTTGAGGACTACCTGTACAGTTCACTTGCCATTGTTAAATTAGCAGGAGAGAAGTGCCAGTGAATTGAAATCTGTTCTGTGGACGCTAAGAGACCAACAATTCAGCTGAACCCTAAATTTGAAAATACACATACCTGAAAGACTAGGAAGTTCCTAGCTTTGATCAGAATGCCCAACTTTTCCAATTCCTCACTGTATTCACTCAACTGTACAACCTTGTTGTTTATTTTGTATTCTGATGAGCTTCCTAAAAGATAAAACTTTCATTTACCTTCAAACAAAAATACACACACACACACATTACATTAAAAGATATATTTTATATTACATTTGGGGCTATATTGAATAGAGAAATGTAACGAACATTCCTCTATTCAATATGGTGGGACTCACTTCAGATCCCATATCCATGGAATTGGCTTTAAATCCCATTTCCCCTGAAACTGTATATATTTCTCCGAGGTAAGCAATCTCCTTCCACCACTCCTTTAAAACAGACCAGCCCTACAATCCTTAAGATTCAACCACCAACTTTTTGCAACATGGGATAATGGATTCCATTTTAGATCTCCCAAGAATTTTCCCAACCTGTATTTAATGCTTACCAACGATGACTCTTGCAAAGGTGCGATCTTCAATACCATCTTCAGAGTAGACCATGCTGACAAATGCCCGGTTGGCGGCTGGTTTCCCAACAGGAGCGCCATGAATCAAGTCTCGCAAAGTCTTTACTCTCAAATTACTAGTCTTTTCACCAAGCACAAAGCTGATGGCATCCATGAGGTTTGACTTGCCTAAATGAAAGACAGCAGACATATACTGTATTTTAACATCAATGTGCTTAGTAAAATATTGGACTGTCATTTGAATCAGCACTTGCCGAGCCTTGGTATTACAATCTTTATTTGATGCTCATTTTTGAAGAGTATTGTTTCTGAGCATGTGCAAATTATGAATAGATAACAGGAATAACAGATAATACATAATGTAAATATGAATAAAGTATATATGTACATAGATATGAATAACGGAAGATGGAAAAAACCAATGCCACAATGTATTGCAAAAATTGTAAACATAATTTGTTTTTTTTTAAGCTGTAATACTTCAATAAAATTTATTTTAAAAAAAGAATTTCTCATATATATAAAAAAATCCCTTTGGTTGAAAAGTAGGTGGTATCTTCCCAACCTCTCCATGATTTCTTCATGTTTTAGACATAGACACAGAATTCTTTATTGGCCAAGTTTGATTGGACACACAAGTCTTGGTGTAAATTCTCTCAGTGTACATAAAAGAAAAGATACATTTGTCAAGAGTCAAAAATCATAAGGTACAACACTTAATAACAGTCATAAGGTAAATAAGCAATCAAATCATACTAGGAAACAGTCCATATAAATCATAAGGATACAAGTGACAAAGTTACAGATACAGTCACAAGTGGGAGGGGATGGGTGATAAAGAGTGATGAGAAGATTAATAATAATAGTAGTGCAGACTTTGTAAATAGTTGGACAGTGTTGAGGGAATTATTTGTTGTCACTCAGATTTTAGCCCAGGCCTTCACCCCGTAATACTAATTTTCTAAATTGTATGATGGATCACGTCATAGCATTTATTGATACCTACTCCCTCTCTCACAAATAAGTTATGTTCATTATAAGTCAGTTTATAGCCCAAATAATAATACTTTATTGAACTTGTATGCCACTGAACTCTCAGAGACTCTGGATGGCACATAACAAAGAAAATACAATAGAATCAATAAAACATAAAAAGAATAAAAAGCATGCCAAGCAATTTTATTTACATACTAGCTTGATACACGTGCTTCACTACGAAACCATGTGGTCAGGCTTAGTTTTTGGGAGGAAAATAATTCTTCCTCTGCCTACCAGCATCCATTGGTATTCATCTGGCTAGCGTCCTGTCAGTGGGTGAGTTGAGGGCTGTTTGGAAACTGAAACATATTTGCTATGTGAGCAAGGAGACAGCAAGGAGCCTGGGCATGGCTTAGCTCAAAAGTTCTGTACTAAGGGTGGTTGCTATTGTAAAACTGAAACTGAAACTCCTCTCCTCTGCTTGTGTTTTGCATTTGGAACAGATTTCTTTTCAGGTGGGGAGGGGGAGTAGAACTCCTTAGCATCAGAGCATGTTAATAATAATATATAAAATACTAATGCTCTGATGGTCATTTTGAAAAATCCTTTCTTAGGGAGCACCTAGAAGCCAAGAGGAACATACGTGCCAAATTTCAAGTTTGTAGGCTTTACGGTTCAGGAGATTTTGTGATGATGCATGAGTGGTATTTCACTTTTTTATATATAGATTGTTTATGTTTATTACTAGCATTTATGTTGCATATGCTCAGTCATAGAGTTGAATTATAAATCTTGAAATAATGTTGCCAAATTCCAGCTCTACAACTTTTTAAAGCATAAATCACATAATTTAACATGTGGTGTGAATTGAGATAGCGTGCAGCCCACATACACAACTCACTGATAAAAGGGCTACAACAGTAGTTATTATCCCTGTCCGCTAGACAGTCTTCCCTTCCCCCTTTTTTCTGCAGCAAATGCCAAACAGCTGCACCCTGCAAGCCAAGCAATCACGCAACTTAGTATAAGAACCAGGCACCTCTCCGTTGCATGCGTTGCGTGTGTGTGTGTGTGTGTGTGTGTGTGTGTGTGTATACAGCAGCTGACCCGTCTCTCTATAGTGTTCTCACTGATGCCAGCTTAACTGCCCGGGTCAAGCAGCCGCCACCAACCGAGAACAGCGATTCATTCAGACATGCAAGCACCGTCGCAGCCAGGCTTTGCTCTCGCCGAAGCCCACCGAGGGTAGCTTGTGCTGGGCTAACTTAAACAGTATTTGCTTCCACCCCCACTCCCGCCTCCCCACCCGGATCTCGAGGTTTGCCTTACCAGATCCATTGGGCCCGATGATGGCCGTGAAGCGCCGGAAGGGCCCGATGATCTGCCGCCCCTTGTACGATTTGAAGTTCTCGATCTCGATCAATTTGAGGAATCCCATGTCGCGAAAGGAAGGAAGGGGGCAGGAGAAGCGTAGGGGCGGCGGGCCCCAAGACGTGCACCCAGGGCAACCTCGGCTGCCCACTCGGAGACCTGCCCCCCCCGCTCGGGCCGCGTCGGCTCGAAGCCCGCTTTCCCCAAGGGCGGGCGCCCGAAAATCTCGCGAGAGCTCGCCGCTATATTCTCAACCCCAAATCCGGGAGCGCTCCCTGGGCAGTCGCCTCAGCCACGCCTCCTTCAAAACGCCAGAGATTGATTGGACGTCCCCTTCTCGAGACGTTAGATATTACGAAGCTGTTCTCGTTCACCCCTAGCGGTGGCCTTCGCCCAAAGGCGCGCTCGCTTTGCCGCTCGCTGATAGGCTTTTTACGGCCCTTCTATATTTACATAAATCGACGTTCCGGTAGATCGACTACATCCGCTTGGAGAGAATGCGAAGGAGTTGCCATAGAAACCAGACATCAACAAAACTTGCCGGAAGAGGAGCGCGGGAGGCAAGTTTTATTGAAGTCCTTGCTCGTGCTCTCAATTAGAGGCTATTTTAATTTGCAAACCGTCAGTTCGAAAGGATCACCGACAGGCCTCCCCACTGATCTTGTATTACACGGATCCTAACTCTGAACTTCTGCGGGTTTTCTCATAAGCAAAGGAAATATTCCCCCCCCCACCCCCAATTCGATCCATTTGCCTTTGGCACAGAATCCAGGGAAATCGCTGGGTCGTTAGTTTACAGGGAATCTCTCGCTCTGAACGGCCGGTCAGAAGTTTCTAACGTTTCTTGCAGCCCACTGTGCAACGATGTATAAGGTGGACATTCAGGCCGACCTGAGAGAGGCGGCTGCCGTTGAAGCCCGCCGGAACCGGGAGAAGCAGAGACAGAGCCGCATCTTCAATGCTCGCTACCGTACAATGGGGGTAAGACTCCCGGAGTGGGTGTATTGGGAGGCGGAATGGGACAACTCGCTGTGGTCACCTCACCACAGCCAACTCGCCCCAGGACAATTTATCAATTCAATTCCATGATTTAAAATTAAAAAAAAAGTGTTTTCATTGTCATTCAGATTTCATGTTGTCCCTCCTTTTGCATCTTTTCTTTAATGATTCTGTTCCATCATTTCTTCGATTTAAGTGTAACTCTTGTCCTGCAGTGAGTTGACCATGGCAAGTTGTCCCATCATGGCAAATTGGCTGCAGCAAGTTAGTCGTGGCGACTTGGCTGTGGTGAGTTGTCCGTGGTGAGTTGGCCACAGCGAATTGTCATAGGCCCATTGGGAGAAGGGGTGCCTCCACTGGAAGTCCCCGAAAAGGAGCTCACTGGTGATAGAAATTTTATCTGCTTGCTAACCTTCCTGAATATGAACGTGGCTTTGCAGAGAAACTAATATTCAGTTGGTGGTGTGCAATGGGAAGACATTTGACTACTTGTATGCCTGAAAAGAACCTAGAAAACAGTGTTTAATGTGCACCCTGCAAGCCAAGCAAACATGATTTGAAATTTCTGATTCTACTGTAGAAAATAGATGCCAATCCCGGGTTACTGATTTGAATACAGTATTGTGGAAAACTGAAAAAAGGGTTAAAAAACTCCATTTAAACTTATGTGTAGAGGTAGTGTATGGAAATCTATAATTCACTTTAAGCTGAAGTCCCCTAAAACTGAGCAAATGTACAGGATTACCATGAATTGGATTTTCAATGGAGCAAATGAGTTTCTTTGTGGCATGACATTTGGATTCTGTTAGCTTCCAACTTATTGAAATAATATATGAAGGAAATAGGGCTCCAGTTTTACCTTCAACATCATAAAATGTAATGCAAAATTGAATTGCTTGAACTGTATCTCCACAAAATAGGTATAATAAAGAGAAACTAGGTTGATACACAGCATTAAGACATTGTTTAATCAAAGTTTATTTATCTAAACCATTTATGTAACTGCCCATCTTATAACCAATTCTGGATGGCTCTCAATCCAAAGTTAAAACAGTATTACAAAACTATGTTAAAATTATAAAACTAAACACCTTACAAATGTTAAACGACAACTGGTTTGGTTCCCGAAATTCTTAAGTCAAAATCAAACATTTTCCACTTTTAATTTATGTTATAAAATTGGCAATTAAAGAGACAAGTAAAGAGGCTTGGAATTTTGAAATACACTAAAGCAAGAGATTGAAACATAACTCACTGCCAACTGCAAAAAAACATAGTTAAAAATCAGGTCCAAGCAAAATTCTGATGATAAGAGACATAGCAGGCCGTTTTAGAGATGATCTGAAAAAAAATAAGCCAAATCATAGGAAGAGGTTAAAAGTACTATATTTTTTACTGCCAAAATCTAGATTCATCTATTTACCAAACTTTTGCATGGTGAACAAAAACACAATACAATGAAACAATTTAAAATAGTAACCCCCCCCCCCCCACTTCACTGTTCATACTGGCTCCAGTACTTTGGGGGAAAGCCAAGTCTTCTGTCCTTTCTTGAAGACCAACCCAACTGTTCATTGCTGTCATGTAGTTCAGATTTTTGTAGATATGATGGCCCTAGAAAGCAAGTCTTCAGGTTTGCTTCTTCGCCATTTTGGTATTTAAAATAAATTTCTTTCCACATAGCCACTTATAGTGACTTTATGAATGTGCCCATCTAGCTGTCGTATTTTAACCATCCCGTGGAAGTGATTTGCTGTTGCCTTCTAGGATATTTTTTGAACTTGTAACAGTTCCTGTTGAGGGTCTTGCAGCTTCATTTTGAACTAAATGAAGTTCAGGAATATAAGATCTTATTTTGACCTAACATACAGTCTTTAAGATACCTTTGCTTTTACAGCAGTTGGATGAAGTGGGAGGGGAGCATCCTATTTGCCAAGGAACTTGCCTCACTTTTATTTTGCTAATAAACTGCATGGTCATTAATGTCCCTTGCCCTCAAGGTGGACATAGAAGGCTTGAAGAGGCAAGTGGAAGAGCGCAAACTGAGAGAGAATACAGAGAAGCGACGAGAAGAAGCCTTTGGTAAGCTAGTCTGGTCCATTGTATTGAACCTGTCCCTAAATTCTTGGTTAATTTTATGGAAAAACATGTGTCTTGGCAAAGTGAAATTTGTTTAACACTTTAGGAGCAGTGAGAAGAATCTTAAAGACTGACATCCTGTACATGAGTCTATGAGTGTTCCATTGAACTTGTGACAATTATTTTTGAGTAGAGCAGATGTGAAATAATTCCCAATGTTTTTAAAACACATTTATTCTGTTTCCCCTTAATTAAAAAACACTGAGATTTTCTCAACCTCTGCAATTTTAAGACATATGGACTTCAACTTCCAGAATTCCCCAATACCGCCTAGCAAATTCTAGGAACTGAAGTCCATTTTTTAAGTTGCTGAGGTTCAGAAATATTGTTCTAGACCAAGGATCCCCAAACTATTAGGTGAACCTCTCTTGGGGGAGAATCCAGGGGAAGCGTGAAGAATCATTTAGTGACATTGTTACAATAAATCTACCTTTCCCATATTTTCATTGTATTGTTTTCATTGTTCATCTCTATGTCTCTGAAATTTTAGGGGAGGTATGTATATTACAATTACCCTACAGGGAGGTGTAGGTGATGTGGTGGCTCAGTGATTAAGAAGCTGGTAAGCTGACAGCCTGGGTACAAAACCTGAATGTCATGTGATGGGCTGAATTCCCATTACTTGCCCCAGCTCCTGCCAACCTAGCAGTTAGAAAGCAAATGTGAGTAGATAATTACCTTCAGTGGGAAGATAACAGGACTTTGGCATATAGTTATGCTGGCCAGTGGTGGTATTCTACCAGTTCAGCTCGGTTCAGGCAAACCGGTAGTTAAAAATGCTGCCAGTTCAGCCGAACTGGTATTTCTGACGGTATTTTTCTCCCTGGAGGCTTCCCTGAGGCACAGTAGTTAAAAAACGGGACACGGGAGGGTGCTGCGAAAGGGGGAAAAACCACCACATATAGCCACACCCACCCAGTCACATGACCACAGGTGGCCATGCCCACAGAACCGTAGTAAAAAAAATTGAATCCCACCACTGGAGTAGCCATATCAGAGGTGGTATTCAGCCGGTTCTACCATTTCTGGAGAACTTTTGAGTCATTTGGAGAAGTGGCCAATACCACCTCTGACTGGCCCTGCCCCCACCTATTCCCTGCCTCCCGTGTCCCAACTGATCAGCTGGGTCTTCTTTAGTTGCCCTGCACAGGAGAACGGAGCTGGAAAGCAGGTTAGTGGGGTGGGGAGAGAATGTGGATTTTGCAGTATCCTTCCCCTGCCACGCCCACCAAGCCATGCCCTGTCCACCAAGCCATTCCCACAGTACTGGTAGTAAAAAAAATTGAATCCCACAACTGAGCCATATATAGAATTGTAGTATAAATTTTGTTTTTGTTTTTAAAGAAAATAAGATGCTAGTGATAACTGGGGAAACCAGGTACAATAGGACCAGCAAATGAAGCTGGGGAAAAGTCTGCTGACATGGTCTGCTGGAGAAAAAAACAACAGAACTCTTTCCCCATTCTATTTCTCTGTCCATCCATTAAGATTTTGAAAGCAAGTTCTCTCTCTGGATTCATACGCTTAGCATCAACTGCAGGGATCTCAGGGCTTGGACCTCTGGGTGGTCCCTGGTATCAGGCAGTCTCCAACTCTTTCAGCTTTCTCCAGAGCTGTTAACACCTGTCTTTTTCAGTCAATAATTGAGGCCTGAGAAGTTACATTTCTTTTTGTTCCCTCATGATAAATGAATGTTTTATATGTGTGGCTAATTCCTTGATGTTGGGAAATTTATGCTAATAAGATTGTATATTGTTTTAATCTGATTATTGGTTATAGGCTTGCTAAATGCTCAGAACCCCTTAGAACCAGAGCAGAATATAAGCCAAATAAATAAACTCACCTCCCTGTCTTCTGAGTTCTAATCATCTTTTTCTAAGCTCAGTATCTGCACTTGAGGTTTTAATTTAAAAAGTAGTAAGCATAACAAGAAAAATAGGGTTGGGTCTCCCAACCCTTCTTCATTGTAAAATATGCAGTAAAAGCAGGTGGATGGTATAATAATGAACTAGTGCTGAAATAGTTTCCAGAAAGAAGGAAGCTTTATATCATATCAAAGGTGTGCACGGATACGGTGCTCAGGCGGAAGGATTTATTGGCAGTGAAACTTTGAAACGGTTTCCATGAAGGTCTGGGATCTTACTTTCATTGTATATTGATAAAATAAGGAGGCATAAAGTCATGCATAGTGGCGAGTTGTGCACAACCAAATGTCTTTGTAATTATTACTAATTATTATTACTAATTATTACTAATAATGAGGTACATCTTAAGCATTTAATAAGAATGCCATGATTCCTTGGGTTGTAGCCCTTCCACAGCAGCACGTGCATGGCTTCCTCCAAGTATCTTAAAATACAGACCGGGTACATCCTAGCACAAATTTTTCAACAGGTATTTAAGCTTCAAGCCTTTAGAACCTTAAGTTTACAATAGTTCCATAAAGTATGCTTATTATTGAAGAAGCGGAGATGGTGACAGAGCAGCAGCTTCCCTGCTGAGCTCCTTATGATATTTTATTTGTTCCATCCATTTTTAAAACAACCTAAGTGCACTGTATTATCGAGCCATGCATTCGGAAAGTAATAAATAGATAAAATTCGCTTGAGTTAGTTGGACATATACACTGCTCAAAAAAAATAAAGGGAACACAAAAATAAGACATCCTAGATCTGAATGAATGAAATATTCTTATTAAATACGTTGTTCATTACATAGTTGAATGTGCTGACAACAAAATCACACAAAAATTATCAATAGAAATCAAATTTAGCAACCCACGGAGGTCTGGATTTGGAATTACACTCAAAATTAAAGTGGAAAAAAACACTACAGGCTGATCCAACTTTGATGTAATGTCCTTAAAACACGTCAAAATGAGGCTCAGTGGTGTGTGGCCTCCACGTGCCTGTATGACCTCCCTACAATGCCTGGGCATGCTCCTGATGAGGTGGTGGATGGTCTCCTGAAGGATCTCCTCCCACACCTGGACTAAAGCATCCCCCAACTCCTGGACAGTCTGGTGCAATGTGGCGTTGGTGGATGGAGTGAGACATGATGTCCCAGATGTGCTCAATTGGATTCAGGTCTGGGGAACGGGTGGGCCAATCCATAGCATCAATGCCTTTGTCTTGCAGGAACTGCTGACACACTCCAGCCACATGAGGTCTAGCATTGTCTTGCATTAGGAGGAACCCAGGGCCAACCGCACCAGCATATGGTCTCACAAGGGGTCTGAGGATCTCATCTCGGTACCTAATGGCAGTCAGGCTACCTCTGGCGAGCACATGGAGGGCTGTGCGGCCCCCTAAAGAAATGCCACTCCACACCATTACTGACCCACTGCCAAACTGGTCATGCTGGAGGATGTTGCAGGCAGCAGAACATTCTCCACGGCGTCTCCAGACCCTGTCACGTCTGTCACATGTGCTCAGTGTGAACCTGCTTTCATCTGTGAAGAGCAAAGGGCGCCAGTGGCGAATTTGCCAATCTTGGTGTTCTCTGGCAAATGCCAAACGTCCTGCACGGTGTTGGGCTGTAAGCCCAACCCCCACCTGTGGACGTCGGGCCCTCATATCGCCCTCATGGAGTCTGTTCCTGAAATGTTTCAGGGACATTTGTGGCCCGCTAGAGGTCATTTTGCAGGGCTCTGGCAGTGCTCCTCCTGTCCCTCCTTGCACAAAGGCGGAGGTAGCGGTTCTGATGCTGGGTTGTTGCCCTCCTATGGCCTCCTCCACGTCTCCGGATGTACTGGCCTGTCTCCTGCTAGTGCCTCCATGCTCTGGACACTATGCTGACAGACACAGCAAACCTTCTTGCCACAGCTCACATTGATGTGCCATCCTGGATGAACTGCACTACCTGAGCCACTTGTGTGGGTTGTAGACTCCGTCTCATGCTACCACTAGAGTGACAGCACCACCAGCATTCAAAAGTGACCAAACCATCAGCCAGAAAGTGGTCTGTGGTCACCACCTGCAGAACCACTCCTTTATTGGGGATGTCTTGCTAACGGCCTATGCTTTCCACCTGTTGTCTATTCCATTTGCACAACAGCATGTGAAATTGATTGTCAATCAGTGTTGCTACCTAAGTGGACAGTTTGATTTCACAGAAGTGTGATTGACTTGGAGTTACATTGTGTTGTTTAAGTGTTCCCTTTATTTTTTTGAGCAGTGTATATTACCTTCTTAACTGAATATGGCTTTAGAACCATATTCTATGGGGAGAAGGTTGAATGAAATAAAGTTGAAGTGTGCTTCAGATCTATAGATCTGGCGTCACAAAGCAGGGCTGTACCTATGCTAACATTCTACAGAAATTCAGAAAGGTTGTACATTTCTATTCTTATTTTGAAGACTGTAAAATAACCTTGGTTTCTTAACCATTTTGAATGCAGAGACTTGGAAGTATATAAGTACTTAGTTGGATGTATGTGAGCATTGTATCATTGAAATGCCCATAATTAGAAGAATAGTTCAGAAACTTTTGTGAGGTAGCTTCTTGGAAGGGACCATCAAGAAAATCAGGTCTCTTTTAAAGGAGTAGTTATACACTGCATTTCATGTAGCTTTATACTTATCTATAATGTCTATTTCCAATGGATAAGCTCCTTTCTAATGTTTATTCAACAATATCCTAAGTAAAGTTCCTATGCAGCATTAATAGCTTTCTCTTTTAGCTTCTGTTCCTTATTTGCTCAATGGAGCAGCATTATTGCAGCCTGCCCTATGGCAAACATAATTCTTCATGAATTATAAATTAAAAAAAACAATAAAATACAAAAATTAACACAGAGAAGGAAGATGACAATGAAAGGGTGGAGGAGCCTGCTTAAAGTGACAGTTCCTCAGGTGAGGTGCCATAAGGTGAAGTGCCTTTTCTTACACAACCTCCCTACCTTCTATTGGAAGAAATATCTTTCTGGGTTCAGTTCCAAGTGGGGAAAAAGACACTGGAAACACAGAAGCCGCTTGGAAAGATAGTTTATTGATGAACAGGATGGGTTCCTGGGCAGAAAAGGCACATGGAGTGGAAAGGGAGAGAGAGAGAGGGAGGGAGGGAGGGAGAGGGAGAGAGAGAGAGAGAGAGATTTATACCCACTATTGGGATTTGAATTTGAGCTTGTATTCTGATTGGTTGTCAGACTTCCATGGGGCCATGCAGGGGGAACTCTGTAGGCTGTCCTGAGTCCCAGGCTTGGTTGAGCCTTGCTGGATGGTGATGTAATGAAAGGGCTTTGGGCAATTTCTATTATGGCTCTGCCTGAGGGAGTTAGATCTTTGTTATGTAGAATAGACTGCTCCAGGCCTTAATGGCCCATTGACAAAGGTAGGGGGGCTGAGTTTCTGCCTCTCTGAGTATCTACTTCTCTTTCAGGGGAAATATTCTGCCTTTTTAATATATCCTAAAATATTTCATTTTTCTAGGAGAGGGGTGGGTTTTAACTTCCAACACTTCATTTATCAGGAAAAACAGTACCCTGACAAGTAGACAAAAGGAAAAATATCCTATGAATGGGTCTCCACCATTCAAGGCTGTAAAGATCAGCAAGGCCAAATAAGGTTGTCTGAATTTCACATAACATAATCCATCAGCTTCAATTAACAGAACTACACTTAACCATGCTAAATCAACATACAAAATCAAAACAAACCACATTATGACTTAATGTGAGGGCCCATTTAATTCATCACTGTGATTTGTAAATGTAGGGATGAGCAATTCCTGGGTGGTTGAAGTTAACACCCCTATTTTTTAGAGGCTCTTGGGAAATCTTGTAGGTAGTGTCATCATTGAATAAGTGTGGGCGAAATGTTCTGCCATTTGGGGAGTGGGGATGAGGTTAAGTGTGGGAAAGGGGTAGAAATCTTTCTCAGCATCAACACCCACGTCCAGTTAAAAAAGTCAGCCAGAAAGAATGCAATCAGAATTCAATCTCGGAATGCTGCTTTAATTACGGTGAGACTGATGTAGTGCCATTTAATGTGTTTTCTGACCCCATAATTTCAATTATGGCTGAAAATCAACGGAAGGTCAGTGCAGATGACAAAGTACAGATAGTCCTCGACTTGTAACACTTCATCTAGTGACCAATTGAAACATGCCTGAAAACAGTGACTTATGACCGTTTTTCACTTACAAGTGTTATAGCTTCCCCATGGATGGCCATGTGGTCAACATTCAGATACTTAGCAACTGATTCATGTATATGATGGTTGCAGGGTCCCAGGGTCACGTGATCCCCTTGTGAAACCTTCTGACAAGCAAAATCAAGGTGGGGACCAGATTCACTTAACAACCAGGTTATTAATTTTAAAAGTGTAGTGATTCACTTAACAACTGTGGCAAGGAAAGTCATAAAACGGGATAAAACTCACTTAATGAATGTCTCACTTAGCCACAGAAATTTTGGATTCTATTGTGGTCATCCGTTGAGGACCACCTGTAATATGGAGTAAAATAAGTCACCTTTTGCATGGAACCAGGAAGTCCTTAACAAAAGATCAATCAGTAACACCATTATTGCATTGAAAAGGAAGCAATTGGAAGCAGACACTGTATAAAGAAAGCTTCTCATGATGAAGGACAGTAGCCCTAGGACATCTACGGTAAATTGTGACTGGATTTATGCAACATAGTAAATTTTGTAAAGATGTGCATGATAAATTAACCGAAGGTAAGTATAATGTATGAAAACATATCAGTTCAAACTGGATAGAATATTGCTATAATTGCAGTATAAGCCCAACATTTCTACAGATCTATAAAGTCACAGAAAACTGGATGCAATAATTTTGATGATGGGATCAACTGTATGTTATTAAAAACTTATTTACAAGGGATGCAATATGCGAGGAAAAAATACAGAAGCCAAAGATAACAGCTGCTGAACTATTTAAAATGAGCCATAACAGCTTTGGTGTGCTTGAGGATTTGTAGTTTTTCATTTCCACACAGTTTGAGTTTTCTGGAGGTTACATTTTTATTAATTTTGGTGCAGAGCATCCACCCCACCTCCCCACTCAGAAGGCTCATCCTATTTTATTTCAGAGGGGCACATGGCATAAACTCTGCACTGCATAGCGCTGTCCTAACTTTTTTTGTACAGATGCAGACAGGGTGCAGTGTGACAAGGTTGCCCAGATGTTAGAGGAAGAGGAGCACCAGCGGAAGAAACAGTTATGCCAGGATCTGGTGGAGTTCCGTGAGCGGGAGCAGCAGCCTTCTAAGCGGCGGGAATGGGATATCCATGACCCTGAGGCGGTACGCAAAGGGCAGCCGGCCCGTGTGAGTGATGATGACCCACGCTGCGGCCCTTCTAGCATGCAGTGCTTTGCTGGTGAGGATCTGAACTTCGTTGCCCGCCAAAAACTGCAGAAGGAGCACAACAAGCTTGTGCTGGAGGAGCAGAGAAATGAACTGAATAAGAAACTCGCTGATCAACAATATGCGGGTACGTTTGAATTGGGGAACAAGTAGCAGTGTTGTTGTTGGGATGAACTGCACGTCCGTAGGAGGTCAACAAAAGGAAAGTTTGCTCTACAGCTACTACTATGAAAAATAACATCCACCTGCTCCCTATGCTGGCTCTGCCACAAACCATTTAGGTATAAGCAAAGAACAATACCCATAACTATAATTTGATAATCCGTAATCAAGTGGGGTATGTTTTGTATAGATTGCCTTGTACTGCACCCATTTTACACCTTCCCAACCTTGCAGATAATCTGGAAGGCAAAAAAAGGATAGAGCTGGATTTGCGAGCCCAGGAGCTGGCACAATTAGAGGAAGAATGTCGCAGGGCTAAAGCCATGGCCTTGGCAGATTTTAACCGAGCCCAGGTACTTTTGGATCCTCCTAGCCGTTTCTCTATACCCCGTCCCAGAACACTGCCTCAAGAAAGGTGAAAGTTTGAAGGTTTTGTGTTCCTGCTGTACCCCAACAGCTGACTAAGGGGAGGGGGTGGGGGGTAAAGGGAATACCAGCCCCTTTGTAGCTCATCTCCTTTCTTTTGCCCCCTGAACCAGGCTGCAGAGGTTGCGGAGCAGCAACATGTATCCCAGCAGCGTGAGCAAGATGATAACTATGCTGAGATCCACAACCATCTGACTGGCAATCTCCTGTTGGAAGACCCTAGCGTTGCTAAAAGCTTGTTGGGGTCACACCGTGTGATAACTGACCGCTGGAAGGGGATGAGCCCTGAGCAGCTGCAGGCTGTGTGGCAAATGCAGAAAAAACAATGCCGAGAAAACCAGGTGAGGGATAAGAAGGGGAGGGCTGAGGAGAATTGGTTCCTGTGGAGGAACGACCGCTAACATGGGAAACAGGTACAGGTAGTCCTCAACTTATGACCACAATTGAGCTTTACATTTCTGTTGCTAAGTGAGACAGTTAAGTGAATTTTGCCCTGTTTTATGACCTTTCTTGCCACAGTTGAATCACTGCAATTAAGTTAGTAATACCGTTAAGTGAATCTGGCTTCCCTATTGACTTTTCTTGTCAGAAATTTTGATCACGTGACCATGGAGATGGTGTAATGGTTGTTATGAAAAATGCTGTTGTAACTTCAAATGGTCACGATAGGAACTATTGTAAGTCGAGGGCTACTATTAATAGGTAAGCTTTTGCATAGTAAAAACATATGGTATTTATTTGTGTTAGCCTGGATGGACTTGTACCTGGCTAACAATTCATAATCAACTAAGGCAGAAGAGGAGAACCTGGTTCTGTGATTACCCCATGAACCTTCTCAGAAACTGCATATTGCTGTAAGATCTTAACAGGCATGAAGATACCTTTTCCCCCCTTCTTCTTTGGAAGGGAAGAATAATTCTTCCAGACATATGAGTTGCTTGTACGGAGGCTTTGAACTTGGGCTGAGAGGTTTAAGTGATCCCGGAGTTGCAATTGTCTCAGCTTATTTTAGGACAAAATTGTATTCTCCCGAGTGTATCTCAACCTTGGCAACTTTAAGATACGTGGACTGGGCAATTCTGAGATCTGTATAAAAGCTGTGAAGATTGAGAAACGCTGCTCTAGACAATATCTTAAACATGCAGGCTACTTTGCCCTGGGAATCTAGTTGCGGAAAAAGAATGGAGGCAAATGAACCTAATAACCACAGCCTAACGACGACTCCAGTCTCTCTTCAGTAAGGAATCTTTTTCCTAACATTTGTTTCTGGGAAGGAATATGGTCTTGTAAAAGTCTTCATTATCTTTGTGTATTAGAGTATATTATCTTTTCCTTTCCCTGAGCCTAGCATTAGTCAGTATGTTTCCTTTGTCCATGCTTGTGAATTGTTATGAGAGGGGTCGGTGACAAAACTTGGAAGCCATAATCCATTCTCACATACTTTGCAGTTTCAAGTGTTGGAAAGTGATTCACGCAGACTGTATCTGAGTGAATCCTTACAAAAGTTTATGTGAGCTCCATCAAGAGATGTGCAATGCGGGACAGGGGTTGAGAGTATAGTACAATCGCTTGCTTACATCTCCTGTTTCAGTTTGTGGGGTGCTGAAATTGGGAACCAGGGATTGCCCCTTCCTATGGATCTGTTCTCACATTTCATGTGCCTCTGTTGTCCCCTGCAGAGACTTCGGCAACTGGAAAGGCAACGGGATGCTGAGTGGGACAGACAGAGGGAACTGGCAGCTCGTGCAGCCATGCAGATGGAGGAGCAAGAACAGGATTTCCGTGAGCAACTGAAGAAGAGCCTGGACGATTACAACCGAGAATTGGCTGATGCACAGAAATCCAAGTAAGTAGGATTCCACAGAAGTGTGAAATGCATTTGCCTGGATTTGAGGTAGTCTAGAGCAGGGGTCCCCAACCACCGGGCCCCGGACCGGTACCAGTCCGTGGATCATTTTGTACCGGGCCGCAAAGAAGTAGGCGCCGCCATCTTGTTTCGACGGCGCTTGAGAAAGTGCTTCTGGGTGAGCTTGTTGGTCGTCGGTTGGAAAGCGGCGTTTGGGTGCTGAAGGAATCCTCGCGCCTTAGTTTCGTCGAAGGGGGGGGCGGCTTCGAACGAAGAGCTGTCCCGATGGCGGTGGAGTCTCGCGTTACTCAGGAGGAGATTAAGAAAGAGCCCGAAAAGCCCATCAACCGCGAGAAGGTACAAAGGAGTTGAAGGTGGTGGGGAGAAGCGGGGGATGGCTGGCTGGCCGGTCGCTCGGCTCGCCTAGCCTTGGTCGTGCGTGCTGATGCCGGTACCGGTCCGTGGATTGTACCGGTCTGTGGTACAAAAAAGGTTGGGGACCACTGGTCTAGAGGGCAACAGATTGAGACATTGGTAAGACGAGAAAGAGCTCTGCGAGCACCATCCTTGAGCTACTGTTTGGCATGCTGTGAATACTTCCAATTAAAAAGTAATATCTGAAAGGCCTCCAGAATATGCCTGTTTTGTTGCAATGTCTGCTCTCTGGAATGAGCTTCCCCAAGATCCAGCTCACCCCCCCACCCTCTTGCTGTTATTTCAAAAGGCCTGAAAGCCCTGGTACTTCATCTAGGCCAGGGGTGTCCAACCTTGGCAACTTTAAGACTTGTG